TGACTCTATATAGGATTTCCAGTGAGTGGCTAGTGAAATTCAACCAATGACCTTGCAGTTCAAAGATCTTGCAGTCCAATGCATTAACCCTCAGCACCACACCAGAACCCTATATATATATATGTGTGTGTGTATGTATGTACATGTACCCTGAAATGTTGCATCTCTTTAAACTTCCTAACAATATATAACACCAGGAATGCAGATAAAATAATTTGGGAGTATTCAAATAAAATTATCTTTTCAAAGCAGAAAGATATATAAAATAAACAATGTCCCTTGCTCCAAATTAGTAAAGAATACATATAGGTTATGAATTAAGATAAAATACTTACAAATCAAAAAGATTATTGTCAAAAGTTTATAAAATTGTATAAACATATTTTCAAATCCATAATTCCCATATGTCTATAAATTTTGAGAAATTCTAATTCATTAACAATTTGAAAAATGCAACTGAAACGAAGAGTATAACGCAAGTTTATAAAATTATGATTGTCAGTGTTTACATACCTGGGACATAATGTGCCTTAGGATGAATATGGAATAAGTGAGACATTAATGCATCATGGATGTGGATATAAATGTGTGAAAAAATCTTATTAGCAAACAAGAGGTTGGAACAGCATAGTCATTCTTCAACTAGGGAATATGGACATAAATTGTGATAGTGTTATGAATGGCATTGTAGCTTTCAATTATGAAGTTACTAGTAATTTATTTAACTTTCTTAAATTTATTTGAGTTAAACAAATAATCAAACAAAACAAAAATGACATTCATATCACAATAAACTTTATTATAATTAGTTAAGACAGGCAACTATTCACAGATATCCATGATCAATATGTATTTGACCTCATGTAGTAATTAAATATGATGGAGAACTGCTTATGGGCTTTGTTCACATGTGAATTCAAATCATGAATGTAATTTTTTAATTCAAGATTTAATTACTAGAATAGATTGAGTTCATCTATATATATGTAAGTTAGGCAAATGATAACAGTATTTTTTAGGTATAAATTTCCTCCTTTCATAGAATACAATTATTTAACTATACATTGAATTAAGAATTATACAACCAGTAATTTAAAAAGCAGCTTTCAAGGATACTGAGGACAAAAGCTATTTAGGAATCAAGAAGTACATATTAAATTATACTTTCTTATTGTAGCTGTTACAACTACAAGCTTCTTCTCTATGGAATTTTTGAGTTACACTATCAAAAGCTATTTAAGTAGTATCAGTGCCTGAATCCAGAAACTAAATACCATGCTTTTATAATTGCTTTCTCTAGATGATTATTTATTTTAGACATTAGAACTCTACCAGCATATTTGTTCTTTGATAGGCTATTTTATATATGGTTTTGGTGGTTGTTAGAATCCTGGAGTGGCACTGTGGGCTAATGCATTGAACTGAAAAGTAGGTTTGAACCTCAAGGTCAGTGGTTTATAGTTTGTATTAGTTGCCATTTATTTTCTCCCAACTGTTAATGCTCTGAATGGAATTTTGAACTCTAAATCTATGAGAATACTAAAATAGATATTATGATATATAAATATAACTATAGATGGACATATAACTAATTATCCCTGAAATTACTTAAAATGATTATAGATTGTATTATGATAAACATACAGTGCAGGCATGCTTAAACAAAGGATAAAAATTCAAATATATAATGAAATAAACACAATGCAACAACAGTTGTATTATGTGTTAAAAAAAAAACTGCATATAAAAAATAAACAATTTAGCTCAAAAAGTAAAAAATATCAATCTTAAGTATTAAATTTGAAGAAACTAAATAAACTGCCTATATGAGATCAAGATTACAACAATAGCTTTAAAACAAAGAAGAGAAGTTTAGACTGAGTCTAAAATAATTCAGATGAAACAACTAGAACATAAATTAGAATATTTAAACTATGAAATGAATAATCAAAATCATTTAACAATATAAGTAAAAAATTGTTTAATAAGAAGATGTATTGACATATATATTCTCAATAAAACAAAATAAAATACAAATGCTTTGGGCATGTTTTTGCATTAGATATTTATGAATGCTCATACAAATGTTGCCAAAAATCCAAGTACAAGGGAGCAAATTATTAATCTCCCAACATTTCTCTATACTTATCAAAGCAAAATGATTATTAAGACAACACAACATATCCAATATTTAACATAAAATATTAACATTCAAAGAGATGTAATTCATTGCATTCAAGAAAAGCTTTTCTTAAAATTATTATGTACTGCTCATTGATATACCCTCCCATTGATCTCAAAATGATGAGATGTCTAAAATGTTTAACTTATAATTTTGAAATAAAATCTAAGCATATTTAATTATCATTTTGAGTAGAAACATTGAATCAACAAATACAAACACCAGCTTTTAAGAGGACCTTGGAAGTTGTATTAAACATTCTGTTGAGAGCATTCTTAATCTCCCTGTTCCTTAGACTAAAGATGATAGGGTTTATTAAGGGAGATGCCATAGAGTAGAATATAGCTGTGAAGAGACTTTGAATAGTAGATGTATTTGATATGGGGCCCAAACAAGCAAAGAACTCAGAGCTTAAAAACAAAATTAAAGTAGACATCTGGGGGAAGCATGTGGATAAGGTTTTGTTTCTGGATTCTACAGATCGCATCTGAAACACGGTAGAAAATATGCTAACATATGAGGTGATTAAGATGATAAAACAGAAGAAGGCAATGAAAGCACTTACTGCAATGGCCACACTCTCAGAAACTGCACAGACTGGGATGAGATGCTCAAAATTTGTGGGACATCACAGAAAAACTGGTGAATCACATTGGATTTTGTGAAAGGAAGCCTGAATATGGTGCCTGTGTGAATTGCAGAATAGACCAACCCAGTAGCCCAGGAGCCCCCTGATAGCTGTTTACACAAACGTGGGGTGATGATGAGCTGATAATGCAGAGGGTGACAAATGGCAACATAACGATCATAGGACATGACCACAAGGAAAAAAAACTCTGTGGATGCAAATAAGATAAATAGGAAAGTTTGAGCAACACATTCTTGGAGAGAAATCAATTTACTATTTACTATTCATTAGAGAATTCACAATTGATTTAGGAACAGTTACTGAGATATAGCAAAAATCTAACAAGGACAGGTTGGCTATAAAGAAGTACATTGGGGAATGAAGATGTGTATCTGTCAGAATGACAGTAACAGTCAGAAGATTTCCAGCCACGGCTCCCAGATAAATCACTAAGAAAATTAGACTTTGTAAGATTTGGAGCTCCCGAGAACTTGCAATATCCATGAAGAGGAATTCCAAGATGATGGTGAGGTTTCCCATGCTAATTCATTCTCCTCTCCCTGGATTCAAAGAACAAAATAAGATGAAGCTATTAAACAAAATGGGGGGGGGCGTGGTTCAAAAATTGTCATATAAAATTAAAACTCTGACATAAATTGGTATACTGCTTTTAAACATGCATATTAAAGAATCCATATTTTATGTGATATTTATGCTTAAGTAGTAAACAAAATAACAGAATTTGAATACAGAGAACAAATCATATTACTGATGTCTCGTTAATATGAATATACCATAATTAATTTGATTGCTTTCAATTATATTTAGCAGTCAAAACATAATCCATAAAAGAAAAACAAAATTTTAAAAAGACGACTAACTACAAATAAAAACTTTCTCTTACCATATCTAACAGTAGTATCTATCAGAAAGTCTCACTAATGTGATGCCAAGCACACTGCATTTTTTATCTATTCACTGAACATTCTCTAGTAGAGAAAGTCCTTCCTCATTGTCTCATATAGTCTAAATCATATGAAGTAATATTCCTCATGATTGGTGATATAATTAACAAATCGTTTTTTGGAGGACACTGGAGTAATTATTCCTCTGACTTCTCAAGGGGATACAGTAAATTACAACTTCCACAAAAGATGTAGGTCCTTCAAAGACTTGCTTTCCAAACATATTCTCACCAGTCCTTTGATACTAATTATTTAAAGAAAACATTAAAATAGGGTCTTGTGAATTGGAAAGCACAAATTTCAAACATTACCTTATGGGTCAATGTTGACGCAATGACATTTCAAAGTTATTTTCTCATAATTATAATATTAGTACCTGTAAAGGAAGAAAATAAAGTAGGTTTTATAGATATATAAGTTGCAAAACAGCAGTTGTTGCTAAGTGCTCTTGAGTCTGTTCTGACTCATAGTAACCCTGTATAGAATTTCTGAGGAGCCACTGGTGAAGTTGAACTGCCAACTTTGCAATTCAAATGACCTTGTGGTCCAGTGTTTATGCTACAGTGCCACATCTTGACTCCAAATTATAAAATTATACATATGTATATATATATACATACATACACATGCTTATAAGACCAATGAGATAAAGCACAATTGTTGTGCTCACATTTGACAAGTGTATGCCAAATTTAATCAGATAAAACAGCTTAATAATATTTTGCATTAATTTAATAAATTTGAAAGATGACAATCACAGAATGAAAAATGTATAGTGCCTGTTACTACACTATGCAAATGTCCTTATCACTAATGACTGATGCTTATTAAGGAATAGTAAGACAGGAGGTAAACAGATGTAAACCTGACATTATTATCAGAATTCTTACCAAAAAATAAGGAGAAAAACTTAGGAATAAATCCAAGGCAAGCAATCTTAAACTTTTCACAACTCAGAGAGTACATCTAAAAGACTCATGAACACAGTTAAGAGAGATGACATGATAAAGCAAAAGCACTACTTCAAAACATTGGAGAGAGAGATTAAGAAACATAAGAATCAAACATTTTTAAGAATATAAGAAAGCAATTAACACATAAAGGAAAAAATTAGACATTTTAAAAAATGCTTTCTGTGATGAAGAGCCTAATAAAATATTAATCAAAGTTGACATTTGATTGAAAATAAGGGAGCTCCATGACTGCAAAGTCTTCAGATTTCACACTGTGGGAATGAATTACCATACCATTATATGAAGGAGCTCAGTTAGCATAGTGATTA